CTTACAAATTGTCTTAGACATAAGAACATGCCCATGGGTCCAATGTACTATATCAGCTCCAATGTTCTGTATGAATAGGAGGTGGAAGAGAATGTTTAAATCCTGGCCCTCTTTAACTGTCATCAAACCTAACAGCTCCATCAAAACTGATGGATGTGTTTATGCTTATGCATTTAGCAGATGCTTTTATCCAAAGCGACTTCCAAAGTGGACAGAATTTTACAGTCATCACCAATATGACAATAGGTTTTCTAGAGGAAAATCCCCAGTCAGAATCAGTGGTGACAGCAAAGATAAAGAGGGAACAACAGAAAGATAAGTAGAGGGGTACAGAGGTATGGGGAAGAGTTAGGATAAGAAATGCTCTTCGAATAGGTTGTTTTTTAGGAGTTTCCTAAAGATAGAAAGGGCCGCTGCTGTTCTTGTAGTGCTTGGTAGGCTAAATATATAACACACAAAGGACTAATTTATCTAATTATGTTCACTTCTTAATTGGATGGGAATGGACTCATACAGTATATCCAACCTTTCCAACCTATCCCTTAGGGAAAATACCCAAACAGGCATTGGACAGGGTCATGCCAACCCAAGCAGGCTTCAAATCCACATCCACCAGAGAGATTTCACTTTGTAAGAAGGGAGTATTTGTGTTTTTGCTTAGGAGACAGGAATTAAAAGCAGGTGCCTATTTCCAGGACAGCTTCATGCTCTCAGGTAAACAGGTAAAATCCCCACCAACACCATCCCTAACACTAAAAAGAGTGACTGCCTGGCCAGCTCCATGGCAACTTTTGGGGAACTTTGGTCATGTTTTCTGTAAAGTGACATTCCTTGTGAATAAAATTCAGCAACAAGAAGTTATCAAAATATATATTTTCCTTTATAAAGTAACATATATGTATATATAATGGAATAACATCTTTACCCTGCATTATTGTCAAAAGTGACTGCAAAAAACATCAGACAGTTTCGAAAAAGAAGGAACTATCACAGATTTTGCTGGCAAAACTGACCGTGTGGGTTAAAACTGATGATGCATGTTAACGGTTATCATCAGAATAGGCTGGTGACTATTTAGATACAGCTTCTGTGTAAAGATGTTACATTAAAAAGCAACAACAGCCAGAGCATCTCCTCTGCTGACTTCCAGTGAAGGGGGTGGGATTGTGCTGAAGTGTTACCAGGTAAGAGCCAGGACTAAATAACACAGGTTTAGCTCAAAGACAAATGTTGAAAGGACATCTGATGTCAGGATGCAGGTTTTCCAAACAGGACATTGCACTGAAACAAGGTTAGGCACGTGGAACAGAGCAAACAACATGAGAAACATACTATAAGCACACCACAAGCCCAAGAAAACTGAAGGTAAAACAGCTTGATTCTGTTCATTATAGAATTTCCAAGTGGGATGAGTAGTACGATAGTTGAAAAGATGATGAGTAAATAGCTAAACAAAGTTGAAGCCTTGAAACAAAGATAGCCATGACGGTTTTTGTTAAGAAAATATTTCAATTTAGTTGTCATACGATACCTATTCTGTCTCAAGTGTCTATTTCTCATGCTTTGCCTCGAGCACAGAAGAGAGGAAACGGGCTGAGGGCTCCTTTGTGCTGTGCTTCTTCACCTCTAGTGCAACGATGGTACTTTCCTTTCTCCTCACCTTTGAAAGCGGACATGATGTTTCGGAGCTCTCCCACCTGCAGGGTGTTGACCTTGTCAGTCAGATTTCAGGCACCGGGGGATTTCTCTCGGTTGGCAGCCGGAGCTAGCAGGTGGATGGAGGGGAGGGGTTGTCATGGAAACAAGCCACTGGGATGGGACACAGTGGAGGCCGGAGCAAAAAAAGCTTTGAAAAGCTCTCATTGATAGCCGTCCCATTGAGCTGATTTCCGGTCTGTTACTGGGCTGCCCGCTGTGTCTGTATAAAGGCGCGTCCGTTCCCTGCAGATAAAGAGGACGGCAGTGGACGTTTCAAAGAAGCAGTTTACAGGTTTAACAAATGCCACACGACCGATGCTTTGTCCCCAACCGTGTTTTTTTGAGCCTCATTTGAACTAAAGTAAACAGTACGATCAGTCCTTGTTGTGTACATTATAGAATCCTCGGGATAAATCCAGGAGTTCGACATGATCGGGGATGAAATGAAACATGGATCTGCAGCACGAGTCTCGATTTGTTTTTCAGACTTTAAAGATGCATGACTACCAAAATAAAATCCAATTTGCACAATTACATTGTGCATAGTGCAAAATCTTCATGTCAAGCTACAGAGTACACTAGAGTATAGTAAGTGAGAGGAAGGCTAAATAAAAATAACATTAGAAATCACAAGCACAAACATGGTACGTAAGTAAATGTATGAGAATTTCAACACGTTTTATGTTTTTTTCTCACTTCTTACATGAATAACAATAGTCTTTTATTGGTAATTAAAAGAAACATGCGTTCTTATGACTTTCATTTAAAACTAAAGTAAGTATGGTAGGTAATAAAAAAAGGTCATTTAATGTTGCTATAAAAAGACTACCACATTAGAGAAAGTTCTTCTCAGAAAAATAAAAATAGGAAAAGGCACTGCAGTTTAAAAAATGCTCCTGGAATTTCAGAATGATGTCTCTTTCACAGAAAACTTAAAAATATTCCACAAATCACCATTGGGCACGGTAAGAATGTAAAACGACTATTGTGATCTTTGAGTGCTTAGCCAGCATGGCATTAAGAACAAGGATGATTCTGCATCTTTAATATGGGTTATAAATGCCCATTAAACAGGGAAAGCTACAATCACCGGAAACATAAAACCTACACAGGATTTGATCCAACATGCTCCCATCCAGATGATGTCTTTTATGTTATGTTGTTTAGGCAAATGATTTTATATTTCCTAAAGACAAGGCTAACTTGACCATAACTTTTAGTCATAGTTCCGTCACAGATCTGATTTGTTTTTAGGTTGCATTGTATTTTAATTTAATTTATTTTTAACTATACTTCACACAGTCATCACAATCCTTCAGAAATGGGGTTTTATTATATTTATTGTAATAGGACAGAGCAAAGGGTCGATTGTTTTAATTTTACTGGTATCTAGAAATTTTTAGGACCGAAGCTTTTAAAGAAAGAGATTTCTTTACCATCACAAACTGAGGACATGACTATGTCTGGGAAACTTTGGGATCTGTGTCTTCTCCGAGGGTTAGGTTTGTTTTCACACATATACAGTATATATACAGTATATATATATATATATATATATATATAGTTTCTGAAGTAATATTTAACTGTGGCAGTTATGTTTGTGCTCTTTTTCCAAAGGTATTGAAATAATACCTTTTTTAAAATCACAGATCATCTTATTTAGGTCTTCCACCATTAGAATTAAAGGGCATCTTTAAAATTGGATCAATACAGTATGTATGCGAAGCTATACAAAATAAGGTTTTTTACACAGAATTGCAAAAAGGTTGACACACTGTCCATCGTTTCAACCGCAGATAAGAATATCTGTCTTCTCCCAAGCAATAATTTGAGTGGAAGAAGGACAGAGAGAGCGTCCACTAAAATGAATATGTTGTCTAGGGAACCAAAAAGGAGATCGCTTGATTGCACCTCAAGGCCCAGAGCTGTCAGTCAGCATTAGAAACAGACAGAGCTTTCAGGACCTCCCTGGAGATCCACTTTTCTAGACTGTGAACCCCTGCAACGCAGATTTTCATGACAGAGTTCGGGGACATAGCAAGTCATTCAACACTTGACTCGGCACCCCCCCTTTGTTTTATACAAAAAAAACAGATGGTTTCTCCATGTAATATTACAGAGATGTATGAAAGCTATAAATACCCTCACAGCAGATGAAAACCCAGTGTGGCACGAGGATAAATAACTAGCAATCCAAGAGATTGTTCATTCCGCAAGACGAATGTTACAAAAAATGCTGAGGATGATGGCGGATCCTACTTTCTTTTGCATTTTTTCTGGCCGAGATGCAAGGACACAGTGTTTCTGACATTAAACAACATTAACATCCCTAATGTAGTGAGATCATGTAGTTTTACAGTGGACAATATGTACACACAACATGTATATACTATAAAGATTACATTTGAAATGTCTTTGATAACTGTTGTGCAGGATACAGAAAAGAGACTTGGTGTTGAAATCATGGTTTAGAAAATATGAGGAAAGAGGTTTTTATTTCAGCTGCTCCTCATTTGAACAACATGTTTGTGTGTAGACCACAGCAAAACCAGTGATTGTAGACATTCTAGCAAAATAAGAAAACAGAGTTTTTAAGAAATGTTAAAAAGCCTAACATCTATTGAACTATTTCATAACATTCATATTTCTATTGCTGGTTTACAGAACTCTGTAAACGTAAAGTCTAAATAAAACATACTGTTACCTTAATGTACAAAAATTAAGACAAATTATAGCTGATACAACATTACAGAAGAATTTCTAACATTTTTCCATAGACGGTATATCAAGTCTAAACGTATTTTATCAGCTTACATTTGATTTGATAGACAAATTAGTATATATATTTCAGTGCACAACAGTCAACAGTGAAACTGTTTTACAATAGATGAGAAATAGCAGTCTCTATCAATTCTGAAAGAGAAACATCTGAAAACCGTTTGGATTTCAGCATTTCCTTTGTGTACGCTCACTGAAACCAGGACAATGCTCATGCTGTGTTCGTCAAAAAAAAAAAAAAAGACTGAAAGTAAAGCACAGTGACTACTAAGTCCAGGAAGCTAAACAGTGCCTCCATCTTGTGTGTCAAAACAGGTGAGAGGTAAAAAGGCAGTATGCTAAACTAGCGATCAGAAAATGTCGGTTTCGGTGTCCGCCTCAGTCTGAGTGAACCGACGAAAGCAAAAGGGAAACGTGAAATAAAAACGGAAAAACATATTGTTTACTTTTACACAAAGAAGCATACATGTGTACTTGTGCTCCTCGAACAATCATGACTCTGTATATCCACAGGAAAGCTGCTTTCACCACATGTAATAGCTGCGTGTGGTGTCCACCTGGCTGGGTTTGGTCTCTGAGGTTCCTTCCTTCTCCTTCTCAGTATCTGCCTCCCACAAGTTAATAAGAGGGGGGTACAGCTCGTTTAGTGGTATGGATGAGGTTTTCTGCATATACTTTTTCAGGGAGTGATGATAGTTTTTCCTCTTCCACCTCTTTGCAATGTACACACCTAAAGAGGCCATGCTGATGATTGCGAACATTGTTCCCATGACTACCGCAAGGGCAGTGTTGGTCCGTTGATCAGATATCTCCACGGCAAAGGTTGATTGCTTCGTTGTCACGTTCACACATGACTTCTGTGTTTGTTGGTGGATGTTGGAGACAGAGAGGCACACTTCGTACTCCGTCGCTGGTTGTAGATGCGTAAGATTGTACTCATGGACGTCCACAGGTACTCTGGCAGTGTAAGTAATGTGTGGGTTGTCTATTTTCATTGTTGCGGATGACCACTTGAGGTTAGAGGTCATCACGTTTGAGTTTATTTTCCAGGAGACAAGGATCGAATGAGATTCTGTCTGTTTGACATAGATCTTCATAAGCTGCGTGTTGTCTAGCAGGGTACCATTCACCTGTATGGCTGTCACTCTTGTATCAACTCCCTCAGAATTTTGAGCCACACAGGTGTATCTGCCCGAGTCTTCAACCTGGATATGTGAAATTCTCAAAGTTCCTTCATTATTGAGTGTATATTTGTCTGACAGGGTGTCAATTGTTATCTTGTTTCCCATTGGTGTCACCCAATATATTTCAGGTTCAGGCTGGGACATGGCTCTACAGTCCAAGTCCAAGGTCATGCCAATCTCCAAACTGAGATGACTTGAAAAAGTCTCGTGGGAAATCATGGGCAAACACTGGTTTACTAATTTGTTCTGCAACACCTCACGCACGTGCAAGCCCCTGACCTCAGATGGCATGTCACAAAACATGGATAGGGGTTCCATGAATCGGACCGCGGTTTTGTTGGAGCTCATCCACTGGATGACACAGTCACAGCGCAGAGGGTTGCTATGGATGCTAATTTCACGCAAGTTGGGGAGAGTATCCACTGTCGATTGATAGAGAGCGTTCAAGGCATTGTTGTTCAGCATCAGACTTTCCAAAGCAGGGACATCGTGAAAGGCCTGCCGATTTATAAAAGAGAACTTGGGGTTGTTTGTAGCCTCCAGCTTGGTGAGCTCAGGAAGGTTGTCCAAAGCATACCTGTCGATAGAAGCCAACTCTGCCATGTTGTTGATGCCCAATTCTTTCAGTCTCAACATGTTCTTAAAGTCTCCCTCCTGAATCTTGTGCACTGGGTTTTTATTTAAATCCAAAAACTTGAGGTTCGGTAGTTTCTGAAGGGCTCTCTGGGGTACTTGCACTAGCTTATTATCATAGAACGAGAGGCTTTCAAGATTATCAAGTCCCACAAATGCATTACCTGGGATGTCTGTCAAATCCATCCCAGCCAAAACCAGACTTCTCAGATTGCCAAGCGGCTTGAAATTGAAGTCCATAATTCCAACAACAGGGTTCTCTCCAATCATGAGAATCTCCAAGTTGGGCGTGGATTCAAACCATTGGCTGTTGATGGCTCTGAGATTGTTGGAGTTGAGGTGAAGCCTGAGCAGGTTATGGAGCCCAGAGAAAGCATTGGCAGAGATGACATTGATCTGATTATGGTTGATGTAGAGTTCTTGCAGGTTGCTGAGATCTTGCAGACAGTAATCTGGCATTTCTGTGATCTGATTCTCCTCCAGGTGAAGGGTGGTGAGCTGGGACATGTTGGTGAGACCCACATCTCGAATGCTGCTGAAGTTATTCTGAGACAAGTCTAGCTCTGTCAGGTTGAAGAGCTGCTCTAGCTCTTCACTGGTCCTGGCAATGTAGTTGCTTTGTAGGAGGAGAACCTGTGTTTCACTGGACAGGTTCCCTGGGATCCGCGTTAAGCGAAGATCGTTGCAGTCTACAGTGATGGCTTCTCTGTAGGTAGACTGAGGAGTAAACCACGGTCGGATCTCACACACACACAGCTGTGGGCACTCATTGCTTTGGACACAAGATAGTCCTGTTGTCATCAGGAGCAGGCAAGCAAAAATCTGGCCCAGGGGAGAGCAGTCTAACTTCCTTCTAGCCATGTTGGGAAAGGAAGATGGTCAGATGATTTTCGAGGAAAACGCGTAACAATCATCAACCAGACTTTCCAGGGATTGCGTCTTTTAGTCCATTGCTTAAACTATCCAGCAACTGAAGCCTGGGAAGGATCTTACAGGGGAATTATCTTGGAGTAGCAGGATTATCTGGAAAAGAAAGAAAGAAAAAAACATATGTCATCATAGGGAAAACAATGTCAACTCCACAATTAACATTACTCATGGGAATGGTTAGCTTCTGACTCCTTTGTGAGGGCCCATATGTGAAATTAACACTAATGTAATGATTTTTGTGTGTGGTGTACAAGAACCAAGCTTGAAAAATATGGGTTATCCTTTAACTTTACTATTTTAAATGTTCAGCAAATAATTTCCCTACCACAACTGAGAACTCTTGTTAAACAGTCTGATGCCATAGCTATTTGTTTGTTAGTTTACATGTAAATGTGTATGTTTTTAGGACACTTTAGGAAGTTGTATCCCGCTGACCCATCTGTATACACAAATCCTTAACCCTAACCCTAATCCGTAGCATTTAATCAAGCTTCAGCTCTCAGCATTTAACAGTCCCCTTAAAATGCATCTTTTGTGATGGTGCAGGAGACTAACAACAAAAATAACAGATTCTCCACAGTCTTTGTGGAACTGAGTTGTGTGCATCATCAACAGTTTTTGAGAAAATGCAGCTTCAGCTCATTACTATGCGTACACAAAACACTGCTCTGAACTACTTGGAAACAGATCTATTTCCATTGAGGGCTTTCATCTATTTCTACAGGCCCATAAGGACTCCGTCATTATCGTCTCTGAACATCGTTACAGACTATGAGACATGAGGCTGCACCATGCCTCAAAAAATGTACCAAAAAGTTGTACATCTCAATTTTTAATGCAATATCCTCAGCATTCTGAATATAGGGCAAATGTGAGAGGAAGAAAAAAAAAGTTTGAAGCAGGACTTTTTCTTGGATGAATGGGTAAAGATGGAAGAATGTCAAAACTTTGTGCTGTGTTCCTTAACTCTAAGAAGGCTTATGACTACAAATGGGATTTGAAGGGAGGGCTGTGAGAGGATGAGAAACCTCGATGTAGCCCTCTCAGTTACTTAATGGTTCAAGGAGTGGGAGCTTCTCAGAAGTGTAACGGGCATCTGCTAGCCCATATGGTATTTACACTTAATGACGACATAGTATTAATTCTAGAGCTTTTTGCCATAAAGTACTGCCATGTTTCTAATAGTTGACTACGAATCAATGAGAAATATAGCCATCTATTATTTATCATAAAGTGACAGTTTTAACTGAACTTGCCCGGCCAATTAGATGCATAACAATCAAATATTTGAATTTCAAACTATTTGTACCTTTGCTGATCCCTTGATTATCTTCAACAGTGTCACAATATGTTTGACATTTTCAGTCCTATCTTGCCTGCTCAAAAGTTGAGCTTTGGATTAACAGCTTAAGGGGACGAGATTTACATATTTTTAATAATTCTTATTCTGTAACTGCATTTTGTGAAAATCCTTGGGAGATGGAGTACTTCTATAACTTTATGTATGTGTCAGTGTGTGCGAAGTGTGATAAAACACTGAATGTCTCCTCCACTCCCAACTCTTGCTCTCTCTTGGCCCTTTAAACTATAAACTAATTTTTTAAATGAGGAAATCATTCTGACACTCCTGAGCCACTGCAGTCCCAAATCTTTTTGAGAACAAGAAGAAGCTGTGTTGCAGAAAAAAGCAAAGATGTTTTGTTTGTTTTTTGTTTGTTTTTTTTATGCCAAGACGAATGACTACTAAATTATTGAGTTGTGCTCTTAGTGAGACCAGGCAATTTCAGGCATAACTAGTTTGTTGGATCTGGCATACATAAAACTAAAATAAAGTTAAACAGAAGTATAAAACAGGATCAGGGCCATCTTTAGGCTGGACAAACGATAAATGGGAGTCCACGGAGGAATATAAATTCCCAGTTTTCCAACAGTTGAAATGTCAACTAAAGTATGGTGTGGAAAGACAGTGACCGAGTTTACCCAAAAGGAAAATTTTAGCCTTCCTATGAGGTTGATATTGTCTATAACATGAATTATCCAAACAAATATTTAATGGATTCTCAATTAATTAGATACATATGTTCTACTTGAAACGCCATTTATTTATCAACATCACACAGCCATCAAATTCCTACATTACTTCCCCTGTAACAAAATACAGAGTAAAACTTTTCCTTTTGACACGCCAATGAGTTTAAACATAAAGCCTTAAATTCAAGACTTGCCCCTGTGTCTATTAAATTATTTGAATTGGACTCTACCGGATACGTTTAATTTTTCCCCCCTCACCATAAACATGCTTTTGAAGATATTCTCTGATATAATTTCCCATCAGCCAGAAAAAAATCAATCAGAAAGTAAAAACTGAGGATGTACCAAAGGCTTTTTCCTCATCTAGAACTTATCATTTACAGATTCTTTCACCTCGAGTTTCTGTTGGGAAGAAAAACTTTGGCTGCATTCCAAAATAATTTTAAAAACATTTTTTAGATTTAATGTCATATTTGGAGTTATTATCTGGTTCTGATTATCACTATCATATCACACCTGTCTGGGTTTTCGAACAAGAGATTGGACTAATAGATAGATACATAACGCATAGACAATGTTAACACAATTCAACTTTGAACCAGATCTTGATGCCTCTATGTCAGAGGCTATAAAGTAGCCAGTCAATTTAGGGATACAGCTGGTACATAAGAACTTTTCAGTCTTTGCTCGGTCAGATATTATTTAGCAAAGGTTAATGGGTATAAAAAAACCTCCTTCTACACATGCATCTTTTGAATGAACAATTCCTTTTTACCTCATTTGCATGACATGTGTTTCACTACCTTAACATATTGAGTTATTGCCATATTGAATGGATGTTTCGTGTCTAAACAAACATTGCTCGTTAAAAAGTTTACATCAAAAACAGGTCTTTAACAACCCTTTGCACTTGCAGTTTTAAACCAACAGACCAGGTATCCCTAAATGAGCTCTACTGGTGGAAGAACCTCATCCTGTCTAAGATTGAGCCATACAACCTAAGCATCGGGCCTCCACACTCTTAGTGCTCACAGACAGTTTAGGAGATACCACTTAAGAGGCTTTTCAGACAAGAGAGCTAAGCAACACGTCTGATGGTGCGTAAACTGCCTGGCAACAGCTCCAGGGAGAAGGCAGCGCCGCTCTGCTCCTATACCAGGGATTCCCTCCGAGACAGGGTGGGGCACGGGTCTTGTTTTGAAGCTAAAGCGCTGTATATTGTGACTATTGCTGCGCCACTTAGGATTAGCAGATGGAGATCCTGAAGAGGAGATTAGCTGGGGGGTAGTGCACCCAATTCAGAACCCGGAGGAGAGAAACAGGTCGCTTAGCACTTTAATTAAAGGCAATGGAACGGTGGAACCTAAGAGTAAAGAGAGCGGTGCTAATGCACTCGTTATCTCATTGTGAAAATAACTGCTTAAGCGCTTGTATTTAATTCCGTCAATGACTAAATCATCTCGTGCATAACAATAGTTGAAATGATTCCATTTCTCTACAGCATCGGAATATGTTACGGAGAATAAAGGCTAATGGAGTTTGTCGGGATTCTGTTCAAAACAGTCGCAAAGCCATCTGGAGACAGGGACCAAACTAGAGGCAGCAGATGTGAAATGATCCATTGGTTTAACGCAATTAATGCTCCCCGTATTATCAAAACGGTGAAATAAAAACGATCTAAATATGTCGGCGCAGTTACTGTAACAGATTTTTATGCACAAAACGGCTTTGTTATACGCACGAGTGCGAGGCAGATGCGGGCACCGAATAATTATCTCTTGGTAAATTCCTGCTTTTCTGTTTACCACAAATGGGGTTAATCCAGCTGTTAATCTTAGAATCTTACCATTCGCTTCCCATGCTGTCAGCTTTGTCTGTGCTCCCTTTTATGAAACGCAAGATTAAAGTTTCTGATCCTATTTAATACTAGAATCATAAAACATGACACAGTTCTTTGAGCAAAAAAGTGGGTTAATTGATTTTGACTCTTTTTCCTAACACACTGTTGAAAGAGAGACCCTTTTAAGAGTGAGAGTGATCTGTTCCCTAAAAATGAGCCCATGTGAGGTTTCTCATAGATGCAGATATTGGTGATAAAAAATGTTAAACCTTATCATGTTATGATGAACAACTTCAAAACTGAAAGACACTTGTCTTGTTACCTTCTCCTTTTGCATTTCAGATACAGGGAGTTAATTTTTCATTTTTCATTTCCTCTGGTCTGACAAAATGGATTTGTCTCCCCTCATGGCGAGGCCAAATTCTGCCATGCTGCCAGAAGATATTAACTGGCTGAGGATTTTATTAATCAAGGAAGGGCCCGTGCAGACACCTGTGCAAACAGCTGCACGCTACCGCGTTATGGGAGACTGTTTATTCACGGGGTACCAGGCGAAACCATTATAAAGATGTTGTTTAAGCATTCGCTTATTAAAAAAAGTCTTTGCGAGCAGCACATGTCGTCATGAAATCTACCTGCTGCAAAGCTCCAAGAGCAACCTTTTCCAGGATTTTTGTCTTCATTTCATACGTGAGTGATTTACCATTTGTAAAAGCAATTAAATGAATCCCAATTTTTATGGGTGATGTTCAAATATCTCTCTTGGCACTTCAGTTGCCCCATCATCTTGAACATTCCGGACAGCCATGAAATGCTCTGTATCATTTCACGCCTGTCACTTATATCTAAGAAACTTTCCCTGCTAAATTCAAATTGAAAAGCCACTAGTTAATTGGCATCTGGATGCAGAAAAATTGCATACTGAATGCCACCTGAGTCATAATACACCCCCCAAAAAATATGCTCTAATATATAGGTTTGAAAGGGACGATAACTATGCATAAACAGGTTATATCCATTTATATTTATTAAGACTAGAGATTTAGCCAATTCAATAATTCCATAGTGTAAGGTACCATGCGTATCTTACTTATCAGACATTCTGACGGGGACTATTTCAAAATGACAAACCCCCCGCTATTGGAAGGGGTTTATGGATTTCTTTAATGTGTTAAAAAATGAGGAGGTGGTTTTAAATAAGATGACTCACTTGAGGTCTTCCCTGGGTGGATATTACAGGCTCGGCAAGACACAGATAATTGATTTTTTTCTACAGCCTCATTACCGCACTTCTTAAAATAGTTTTGCCTTCAGCCAACAAGTATACGATTTCAGCAAACACTTTAGGACTCGCCGCGAGCTAAGAGATTGAATTAGTGAGAAACCGAATTGCAGATCTCCATCTTTATAAAACATTAAGATATTTTGGGAAGAAGTGCAAACAGAATCATGGATGTTCACACACAGAGAACTGGTGCCCAGCTAAATCAATCTTTTCCGGACCTCTCAGTGGGACAATGATTGGATCAGAATGAAACCATAAAAGACCCCAGACTGGTAATACATAAAGGAAGCATTAGTAGTTAAAGTTTTTCAACACAGGTCTAATAGAAGAGTACTTAGTTACAAAGCATCTCCTGACAGACACAAGCAGATGAAAAAAGTCTTACAGAGTTCAGTTTGGGAATCTAATAGAGCGCCTCACATTCCTGTCATGTTGTTTTACGTTTGAAATGCCTGTTCGTCTGGTTTAAAGATGAACAACTACACAAATGTAGTTAACTCCCACGGACACAAAATGTGCTCTTTAAGCTAAACATTTCGATTTAGGTGTCTGCAAAAGTGCGACGATGAACACAACACTCTGACGCGTGCCTCAAAAACAGAAACAAACTTACTTCATTTCATTTGTTCGGCCCGAGATGGGCAGCAAAAGCAAACATAAATAAGCTCCTCTCTGTTTCCTGACGGACCTTTAGTCAGGTTGTGCTCATAAAACCTGATTAAAACGTAAAGGCTAGATGTGTGAGTCCCCCACGAACATTTAAAACAACATATGTCTGGCACAAATGGACCAAAGAATTGTTGCTCACTAAAGCTGTCGACCATTTCAATGTGTTGTTCATGGCAATAGATGTTAGTGGTACTTATCTTTCTTATAACTGCTCTTACTAATGCTAGCTCATAACGTAGTCTTCTCAGGTGCTAACTCGCATTTGTTATGTTGTGCCTGTACTTGATCAATCCTCTATAGACTTTGGTCCAACTCTAAACATATCTTATAAAGCCTAAAGGATTTCCAGACTGTTGATTAAATGGTTGATTGTAATCCTTGACGATACTGAGCGAAAAACCAACACCCAGTGTTACATTTGTTTTGACCTCAAACGCAACAGTGGAAATATTTCAAGATACGATGAAGATTGAATGGATTAATTTGTCAAATTTAGTGTTATTGGTGGTGAGGAGCAAGGTGGAGGCTCATGCAACTGCTCGATTGCACGATTCTGTGAGGAAATATTAGCAGAGCGTTGACAAAAACTAGAAATACCTTGACTGAAATTACACACAACAGCATGTTGAACACAACTGCATGATCCTTCTCCTTTACATCCAACTTTAGGCAATATGTCATCATGCCTATGACGTCTGGGTGTAGATGTATGTAGGGATACATTGTGATTTGACAGATTTGTTGACAAGCAGCTGGATCCTAACCATCTGATGGGTTCTCCCATCTGGTTCTCTGGGTAATCTCCCCCGTGAGTTGCTGTGAAGTGGTCGTGCAGCCTACGTGACAAAGGGTTAACAGCTTAGCCCTACTTCTTTAAGGAATAATGGTGGAGGCCTGATCTCACAGCCTAGCTCCCCCCTCGTTCAAACTGCTCTATACCCCCGGGACCTAAGTGCTGGTATTGGAATGGGTGGGGTAGGTGTGTGGGGGTTGGGGAGGTGTGAAGCTTTTCACCCCTCACTATCAGCCATGCAGACACCTGCAGCACACATTAGGAAGCCTTTGTGAACCTCAGGCGGGTTTAAAAAATACTGGATTATCATAATCTAGATTTTTTTTTAAAAACTGTTTGCGTGTTTGGGCGGAACGCGGTGCATCTTTACTTTGTTCATTTGAGGTTGAAAGAGCGAAAATCAATGGGGTGATTTTGTGTCTGCCAAGTTCACTCAGGTTTGATCGATTTCGCTTCTGTTTTAGTAGAAATCTGGTTTTGGCAGAGCCTTGAGCCAACACACTTTTACTTTAAAAAAACAACTAATATTAGATGTCAAACTTCAAGAAAATTCTTATTGAAAATATAGTATATCTTAAAGAGGAAACACAAAGCAGAATGTATACTGTCTGCTGAACTGTTCAGTTAAATTTGACCCTAAGCTTCTTCTTTTTTTACAGGACTTTACTGTATTTGCCAAAGACCTACATTTGGCTCAGTTTTGCAGGAGGCCTAAATGACATAGACGCGTTTGAGTAAATCTTCGCTCTCCTTCTAAAGCGCGTCCTGCTCATTCTGAAGTTGAGTGATACGAGTCAGCAGCAGTCTCTCCCATCACAAAAGCGCAACAGCTGCTGCGACAGAAGCAGCGTCGGGGAGAGCCACAATAGACCCCCCGCGACCGCAAACCCCATTCTCAACCCCCGCGGTGCATCGTGCGCACAGGGCCCTGTGTCTTTATCCCCCCTCCGGAGGAGACTTTTTTTTTTCCCCTCAGACCAGAGGAATCGAGACATCTGCCGGGATACTTGGGGACATTAATATGCAAATCACATCTCAGCGCGCGTCTCCTGCAAACCAGATCAAAGTTTGTCTTCCCGTGGAAACATCGCCCGATGCGTCCGAAATGTCGCACGCGTGCCAGCGGATGTTATTTAGGTTAAATGCTACAGCGTGCACGAATTTGGTGGGGCCAGACCGGGCTGCGTCTTGTCTGTATGAAAAAAAAAAAAAATGATAATGCCCTTGAGTGCGTCTGCAACTCCCTGCGTCGCCCTTGCACAATTTGGAGATTTCGCGCACGGTGCCATGCGTTATTATAAAGGTGTTAGAACAACGAGCAGTGCTCGGGGATTTTCCAGATTCTGTTTGGACTAAACAGCAGTTCGAGACGCGACGCGCTACAGCTGTAGGGGGAAAAAAACAAAAAAAAACCTGAGAAGTCTCACCTTGTTGTCATTCCAGTCGGATGCTCCAAAGCGCGCCGCTCCCCTCATCCAGGTATACACACGCGCGCGTCAGTTGGGGAGGAAATATAGGGAGAAAAAGATGAGTGGTACAGAGCCAAGTGATGGAGCTCATCAAACAGCGTAATAATGGCACATATTCCTGTGTCAGCGGGGTGGTTATTCACAGCATCGCGCATCCCATCATAGCGCCTCGGAAGAGAGAGGCTCGATGCGGTCCTCAACCACCATCCGAGATATTATTCCTCCGCACTGCCGCCCGCTTCCCACCCTCTGTGCAAAAAATGATAAAAAAAAACAAAAAAAAAAACACCTGGCGATGTCCGGAGCCAGTCAGCTGATTCCTCGGCAGGCTATTGGCTGAGAGCGCATGTCTGTCACGAGGCGAAGCGGAGCAGAGCAGAGCACCATCTGCTCCAGGCTTGTTGTGATGAGAACAAAGGCAAGGAGAGGGCATGGGGGGAAGCATGGGGGTGGAGGGTGTGGGTGTGGGGTGGGGGCACGGAAAAAACTGGGCCTCTTCCTCTAAACGCAAACCATCGGGATATTGCCAGTGGGTTGCAGCACAAAGGCAACTTATTTCATCTCTGACTGTTTTTCTACTCGTGACGGGAGTTTTTCAAAAGAAGGGGAGAAAAGTTTTCCCCCCAGAGACAGCAATGGTCCTCTTTAGAAAGATCCTTTTAGCCCCTTCAGAGAGCTCTATAAGAGTTTTTGCGTGTTCTCATAAGGCTCAAAATGTCCCTTCCAATGTAGGTTGAATTAACTGTAATAATATATATATTTCAGACATTTTTTTGCCTTTAGTAGACAGCTCTCAGTGGGTAGGTGTGATTGAATATATATTGAGATCAACATCAAGAAACACAGACTAAAAAAGAAAAAGAACTCGACTTGTCTACAAACTACAACGGAAACTCAGACCGCCGAATACCTAAAGTGGTGAAAACAAAACCCAAAGGAGTGAGATAACAAGATAACAAAAAACCAAGACAATGCACAAGCCGGGAAATAGCAAGAAAACAAGAGGAACAGTAAGAATGACTTGGAAGAACAAAGGGGTAAATATACTGAGGCCAGATAACAAGGAAATGGCTGCAGATTTAGTTGGATATGGGTGGTGAAGTTTAGCCGATGACCACACAGAGACACTGGTTAGAAGAGTGACAGATGGCCTGAACAGGAATTCAGAATTAAAAAGTACCAGCTAAAAACAAATAGCATGCAACATTGAACAAGGAGAAACCAATAAGTTCAACAAAAATAACAGACTAAGAAGAGAAGTGAGACCATAGAACCAAAAAGACAAACAATAAAGCAAACGCAAAGACAAGGAACTCAAAGTACACACCAAAACTCCCAAAAAATGCAACTGAAAACAACACATTTCTTCTATCTATCTATCTATCTATCTATCTATCTATCTATCTATCTATCTTTGAAACAGGAATGAAACTCTTTTCTTAGTTCTGCCTGATCCTAGTTACATTACAAACTAAAACACCCACCTACCTCAGTGTATTTTGACATTTTTTTTCAACTCTTTTTCAACTACTTCCTCCCAGTTCGCAGTGGAACTAGCCATGACGTACTGGGATCAGAAGTAAAGTCACAAAAGTCTGCATACAAGTTGTCAGAGAATAAGTAAAATCCTGCCGTAACCTGTAAATACTTTTTCAGTTGAATGCAGGGATGTGCTCGGGCTGTGGAGCACCCCCCCCACTGCATTAGCATTTCTGTGATGTAAGATGAAGCATTAGTGAGATTTCGAGAATCCATTTGCTCAGGGCTGCAGCGAGACAGAGAGATTATAAAGCGCTGAAGTCTGTTGTCACGTCCCGGAGTGTAAAGCAGCTGCAGCAGCCGCATCAAAAAACAGCCATGAAAAGCTTTTTGTGGATATCTGAATTTATTATTGCTCCTCTTTGCATGCCCCTCATAAACCAACCTCCTCAAACACATCGCGGCTTGTCTGGATATATATCCCCCCTCAAACACGTGTCTTTTTTTTTCAGTAAAAAAAAAAAAAAAGCTTAAGTCTCAGTAGCTGGAAGGGGCCCCTTTTACACCGTCCTCAAAAATCTGCTTGCTCCACGAGTATCCTTAACTTTGAAGCCCTTCCATCTTAACGCACGCCTTCACATCTCAGAGTTTAAACTCTTAAAAATCTCCAAAATGGGAATCAAACTCTCAAGTTCAATCTCACTCACCAGTGTAATTTATATTGTGGATGTGATGCATGTTAGAGTAACCATTAAAGTATTTCACGTGTGTGTGTGTGGCTAAAATGCTAGTACCTGGACAAACAAGGGGGAAAACGTGTTTAAGCGTGAAAGACGGTAGCACAATCACTGTAAAAATAGATTATCAGATGACGGTTAGCGCGGCCGACCAAAGCTTGTTGTTTTTTTTTTTATGTGGCAGGCTGGGCAGGGTTGTCTATCTTCAAAGCCAGCTTTGATGAGATGAAGAAAAAAAAGCATGTGAGTAAGATGCAAGTGGAAAGAGGGGTAGAGTGCCTTTATGTTCTCCTCCGGTTCTCACTCAAACTGCGATATAGCAGGTGATACATTCTGCCGTCGGATTTGTCGGATTTGACAAGCATTTACATTGTCATTGATTCAATTCATTTCCAAGCTGTCTTGACGTTTAACTGTCTCAGTGTGTTGCCAACTCTCTGTCTTGAAACAACTTTGAGAAGTGCCTTTAAAATGGACTCACGTTTTGAATTCCTGTTAAACTAGAACATTAGATCTGAATGAAATATACCCATGTTTGGTTTAAAGAAACTGTTAAACCTTCATATCTCAGATTCTGACTGTGTTATCAGTCTGTTCAGCACCATGGAGAGCTCACCTGGGACAGTTTAAGCATGATAACTACATTGATCTGTTTTTTCATCCTTTTTTTTAATATTACCCAAGCTATCATTTGGTGAGAGGTAGGGGGAAATGCCCTGAAAACGTCACAAGTCCAACACAGTGCCACCCGGCAACAAGCAACCAATCAACACAATCAGATTAACTCCTACAGGTCAATTAGAGTCTCCAATCAACCTTGCGTGCATGGATCTGGACTGTGTAGAAGAGGCATACATGCTAACTTCACATAGAAAGGCCCCAGGTGGTATTCTAATCAGAAATCCTCTTCAAACGTGGCAATGTTCACACCAACGCCACTGTGGAGCACTTTTCTTTTTTCATACAGAGCGCATCTTAAAAACGCGGTTAGCCCTGAAAACTTTGCAAACACACCTTTTGACCTCATTCACAAAGAAAAAAAGTAAAGAACAGTACAGTGGTTACGAAAACTAGATACCGCTCCTTAAAAAGAGAAAAGATGTTTACGACTATTTTGGAAATGTCGCTTGCTGCCCCACTAATATATAAATGCAAAAAAAAAAAGGCCAAAGTCTGTGATAAAAACATCCAGTTTGATTGATTTATGGGATATATTGACAATACAAGGCTCACATCACCCTTGGCCACAATCCTGAATATCCATCTTTTTTTTCCCCCACTGAGTACCTCTCAATTTTTTTCATCCTCTGCTCTTGAGAATTTCAAGTGCACCAAAACAAGAACCCACATAATAACCCGCGTGTCAGAGTGAAGCCCTGACATCATCCATGTTGTTTGCACCTTGATGTACTTTTATTGCCGAAGCTCCGGGAACTTTAAATCCCTTTATTCATGACAGTCAGTCTTTAAGCGGGTTCAAACACGGGCTGCCCTTCAACTAATCTATGGCGTAGCTTTGTTAGCTTTCCCCACAAAACAATTTCACATTGAAAGATTCTGCGAGGATGGGGTGAAAGAGAGGTTGTATTTCAAATAGAGGATCAGTGGTTTGATCCCCTGTTCCCCTCAATATATCAATGCAAAACAAAAATCCATGCCTTGGGCAGGAAAAACGAACCCCAAACTGCACCAAAGTAGTTCATTGATGTGTTACTGTAGCAGAAATTGTGCGTATTGAGTGTGACTACATAATAGGAAGTGCTATGAGTGTGTTTGTGCAAGTGAGAAAAGTAGTGCAAAGCACATAACCTACACAAGGTTCAAAGGCACTGTGGAAGTGTGGGCCATTTGTATTTCTGCTGACATGTTTGGTTGGTCCAAAATATGAATCTTTATACTTTCACTGGTTAAAGATATGTTGTTGTTTTTTTACTTGACCCACTGTCCAAAAACATCCATGTTAAGGTAGTGGAACAAACTATATTGCTCCTATTAATGACTGGGTGGTTGTTTGTCTCTGTGTGGCCCTGCACAGGACTAGCATCTTGTCCAGAGTGTACCTCGCATCTAGCCTGCTGTCAGCTGGGCTAGGACCCAAACTCTGTTCCTCTAGGTAGAAAAGAAAAATCAAGCTGTGCCTGAGCGTTGAACTTAAATTAACCTGACCATCTTGAAAATCATCTCCAATGTTATACATTGAAAACCTGTAACTTGAGCTATAGAAACATTTTCATGAGTAATCGGCTTTGTTATACGGCAATTTACAGACAATTTCTGAAGAGTTTGTGTTTCGAAGCTAACAAATCTGGATGATCTCCCTATTCCTCTTCCTTGGTGTGACTTGTTTTAAAGCAGAGGAACACAGATGAATAAAAGCAACGTGTTGGGTCATTTTGCTCACACTGAAAGAATGAAAAAAGGCAGTTTTTGCTTATTGGGTGCTTTCAAGTGTTGACATTTTGCACCACAAATGCTAATAGAGTCTTTTGCCTGTGATCCTGAGGTTGAATAATTGTATAAATCATATCAAGTCTTTGTCAGATGGCCCAATCTCCCCATCTTGTTCTGTGTATCTCCTGTGAGGGAAAATGTCCTATTTTATGCGTGTTTCTCCTTCCTGGTGTGTCAAAGCAGAGCTTAAGTTTCACCTGCGTGCTGTACTATTTTCATCTGCTTTGACTGAAAATGTCAGGGCACAGATGAGTGAGAAGAGGAAATGATGGGACCACCTCAGGCCAACATTCGCTCCAACCTGCTGACACAGGCAGAGCCGCTTCGAATCAGAGCTTTACTTCCCTGTCCAGCTGACAATAAGCCCCCTAATGTGGGATTCACTTTGTAAAATCTCTCTCTGCATTTCTAAGCACAAACTGATTTTCAGAAAAAACATGAACTTTGTCAGACACTATCAGGAAAGAATTAATTTGAATGCCATTTTGATTTTGTAGCCAACAACACACCAAAACTAAAGTGATAAAAAGAAGAAGCAAGGCGTGTTTTGGAAATACAAGTTTTGGGGTTCTGATTAATCGGTGTCAAGTGAGTGTCGAAATGCATAGTGTCTGGAACTCCAGATTTGTAAAGGCTCTATTAAAGAGCTAAACAGACCACAACAAAATAAGATAGTCACCAGCTGAAATACTGGAAACAGATTCCTCTTTTAAAGCTCTGGGAA